AGACATTTTGCAAACAATACATCAGTCTAACAATTTACCATATAGTGGACCCCATTTCAACATATGTTTATCCATTTTCCCACAGTTTTGTGCTATCACATATTCTAATTTATGATAGTATTTAACATAACATGTAAAGCCCTTAATCGTGACCAACTTAAACTGTCTGTTTTTATATATAGAGAGTTTTAATATCAATAACAATATATTAAGGACAATAGGATGATTAACTGAAATGCCTAGTGTGATAATTCTGGGTGTGAGCTTAACTTCTGTATCAACATGTTGTTTTATCCAAAATTCTACATCCCCCAGAAATTTCACAAGAGAGGTACAATGGCAAAGCAACGTTTTAATTGAAAATGTACGACAGCATCGTGAAAAAAAAATTGCCAAAAAGAAAGAGCAAAGGCTCGCATTCGAATCCGGGTTACAAAGCCTTATCCTCTACACCACGAAATATCACAGTGCCGATATTTGAAAGTCTACCGTTCTGGGACAAGGCATCGACCCTGCGCTGCGTACCGTTTCTGTATACCGGTACAGTACCGCAAAATCGATTAGGTACAGGTCCAAAATACCGAATCACTAAGTACCGATACATACCAAAGTGCCATTTAAATGAAGTATCACTAATATGCAATAGATCTTTCAAGAGCAGTATTGTGTGCAGCAAAGAACGGTCCATATGGTTCTCTTTTGATATGGCATAATGCCAGATTGTTCTGTTTTATCGGGATAAATATTCTGTCAGGTTTATTACTACTTTTGATGCTATTGAGGACGTTCAGGAGAATATTTGTCAAATTGTCCAGATACAGGTACAGGTCCGGACCTGTACCTAAACCTCTGCACCGGTACCTGTACCTAATGTCATGTGTAGGTTCGCAGCCCTACAGTGATAGACCGTTTAAAATTGCAACGACCGTATAGCCTCGGTCACAACCCGCCGTACGTGCAACTGTGTGCTGTCTACGTGCAAAAACGTGGGCAAATGTAGGGGATCCGCAAGTGGTGAGTACCGCCTCAGTAAGGAATCCTACGGATTTGGGAGCACGCAGACACACCGTAGAACTTTAAGTGCAAGTACACCACCCGTACGTGCAAGTACGGGCGAGGCGCCTGCAACGCACGTACCGTACGTAATCAGCACGTGTGAGTACGGCCTCCTTACGGTAAAGTGGCAATCGCACAGAGATCGTACGTTGTAAGCACGTACAACTCACTTACCACTTGCGCAACGAACGATGCACGCAACTGCTCACGGCCAGACGTGGCGTGCAGACCACACTTTTACACCTTGCGCAACCGTGCGAGTGACGTGCGTCGACGTCACTCCTTCCCCACGTTTTCAGAAAAACTTAGCAGACGTGGCCTCCCAATAAAACGTACGGAGAAAAAAACACGCACGGCGGGTTGTGACCGAGGCTTTATACGAGACGGAATTGATCAGATCAGCCGCGGGAGCTATGGCAAAGGTAAACTGAGATTGGTGACCCTTCGGCGCCAAAACTTGACTAACAAGCTCGCGACCTCGGCTCCGTATATAACCAAGGGCGTTAACTTTAAAACAGGGCGTCTTCCACTATACTGCATGGTCCACTCAGACTCAGTTTACAATGTGTTTATACAGATTTAGTATCCACTCTTCTGTGCGGGGAAATATAGTCTTGGATCAGGCCAGGTTATTGGACAAGGTCAGGCACTTCCTGTTATTATAATCCCCTTTAGTTCTGTTGAAATTAACGTAACGTAATGTAAACTTTCTTATCGGGTAAATATCAGTAAGTGGCGACAACTTACAGATGGTTTGAAGACTCCTTGT